CTCTTCACTTCTCCCTTCCCCGACCAGCCCATCCAACTTCTCCTCTTGACTAACATCCCTGTCCAGGCGCAAAAGGCATAAAGGATCTGGTTTGAACTCATCAGGAAAGTGACCCTATGGGTCGTTTGGAAGGAGAGATGCAGCAGAACAATCGAGGGGAGATCCAACCCACGGGAGAAGGTGTGGATAGATACAAGCTGAGATCCTCTGCAGATGGCGAAAGATAAAACAAGCTTGGACTGATGATGAAGAACAACGTAACAAAGAGAGGCAGAAATTCTACAGGGACTGGCTGATAAGTGGCAAGATTGCAGATCTGCGAGATGACCGAATACGTTGGAGGGAGTGGCACAATTCTGTCTCAGAAAGAGGCTTTCGCCAGCAGGCATCTCCTCAGGGCATACGTGTAGCCTAGCCCTTTACATCAGGAAAAGGTCATTCCCAAGGGACCAGTGGACACKTTCTGAGAGGATTCAAGCGAGAGGGCAGGACCATACTGATCAGAGGCTATCAATGGAGCACAAAGATGACCCACTTGCAGGGGGGCTGGAAATGAACATGGCAGGTCAATGCACAATCTCTTATACTGGCGGGCCGCCACACGGAGGAAGGGGTTTAGGGTTTAGGGTTTTTCCTAAGTCTTCTCAAGGGGCCAGAGAGGGTGCAGAGAAGACGAAGCCCGGCAAGGACATCGATTAGGAGACTGAGGAAAACAGACCTAGCTCCACCAGGATTCATACACAGATCGGACTACCCTACAGGACAAAATTGGACCCTAGCTCTCAACAGCAGGAAAGGGACACATCAAGGGACCAGGGGTCACGAACTGAGAGGATTCAAGGGAGAGAGCAGGACCTTTTTTGGACCAGGGGTTATCAAGGGAGATTAATCACGGGGACGACCTTCTCTCAAGGGGGCCGGAAACGAACAACACAGGTCAAGGTACAATTTCGTTCATTGGAGGTCCGACACACAGAGGAAGGGTTTTGGATTTAGGGTTTACTTTAAATCTTCCAACAAGGGACACGGAGGTGTGCTGAGAAGATGCAACCCGGCAGGGCCATCGGATGTGCCCCTTTTAGAGACAATGGCGCATACGACAGAGACTGAGGAAGACAGACCTAGCTCTACCAGTAATACACACAGATCTGACAGCCCTACAGCTGAGAGGCAGAACTAGGAAAGCCTAGACAGTCCAACGGACAGATACCACATTACAGAGTCCATTACCCTGAGAGGCCTTACAAGCCCAAGACTACGTCAAATACTCTAACTTAGGCAGGGGTGAACGATGGTACATCCTTCCCAAGGGAAATAATCAATGCCGTCTTTCGGGCCTTCCTACCATAAAGGGGAGGAGCGTGTGTGAGTATCTTTTGTAATCATTTCTGACTTGCCGGTGGAATAGGAACCGGACTGATGCTCCCCAGAATGGAAAAAGAGCCAGAACCGTAAGGTTCTGTTTTGTTGGGAAAAAAAAAAAAAAATGAAGTTATGAACTTTAGACTCTGACGTTCTGAATTGAACTGCAAAGTTCCAACTTTTAAGTTATATTAACTTATATATGAAGTTATGAACTTAAATTACTAAATCCAAAAAGCTCACAGTTAATCTGACTTAATCATACTTTTTTCAGAAAAAGATTCTCTGTTTCTTTAGTCTTGTGCCTGCTTTGCACTGTTCGCAACTCTGCATGTCTGCTAGTTAAATGTGGTGGTTGATTTGCTGCAAGACACGTGCTCTGCTGTCTGAAGTACAGACTACAAAGCAGGCCAACACCCCCACCCAACCCCCC